ATAATGTAATTCAGTAGAACTGGCTAAAATTGTTAATGAAGCATAAACAGTGATATGTTAAAGGGAAATTGAAAAGCATTTAGGAAGGAATAAGAAAAAAAACTGACTCATCACTACCTACTTACTTAATCATTTACAAGTTCGACGCAGGATCGCAAAACTCATCAGATTCGAGAAAGTCAGCCTGCTAACGCTAGGAATAAACCGTGATTGGTTGTGCAAGAGGCAGATGCAGTGAGCATCATCGAATAGGGAGTGTGTACTCGATAAGCTACCTTATCTTATTCATCCACGATACGAACCGCCTGTAGGAGTAGGGGCGGATATAGGGGGAGGTTGCTGGGGTGCGCAACCTTGCCCCCTCCCCCGCCCCCGCGAGATTGAGATGACCTGGTAAAAAAAAATTTAAAATCTGTTTACGTCATCAGTCAGTTATGCTATTCCTTAGTGGTGCACCCCCTCCTACGAGAAATCCTGTATCTGCCCCTGAGGAGTGGAAATTGGACAACAGAGGCGTATTGAAGAAAATAAGTTCCAGGCTTTAAATGGGCCCAAGCGAGTCACCGTGTCGTGTCTGAACAACACTGAATTAGTAATTGTTAACTGGCGTGTACATAAAATAACAAAGGCACTGATAAACTTGACAGAAATCTGTAGGAAAGTGAATGCTTTAAGTCAGGAGTATCAGTAGTTCATCTACTGTGATTATATGAGTGTTAGGTAGTTCTGATAAGAACTGTTGTTAGTAAATCATCTTTATGCAGAGTCAAGTAAAAGTGTTTGTCAGTCGATGGCCGTTTATGAGTCGGGTCCGTTGAAACTGATTTGTTTAGCAGTGATTACATTAAGACATGATTGATCATCGTAGTTATATACACAACTCAAGCAGTCCTGAAATTAAAACCTGAAAAAAATTCAGGCCTGAACGCGGGGATTCGAGCCATGACGTCTGCGATACCAGCGCAGTTTCTCCGCAGTTCAAACGTATGATCTTTCATATAATCACTTGTAGTTATTATATTCAGTAATAGTAATATTACTTGGAATCCAAAATATAATCACTTGTAATGATTATATTGGCTTAAAGCTCGTGATTAGACTGCCATTCTTGAAACAGATTCGATTCACCTGCCAGTCCAAAGGCACCCACAACATGAATATTTTCATTGTTTTCATTGACAGAGTACCTGAATGGAATCCAAAATGTCCTGTTAATTCGATACATTTAGTCCAAGTTTCTCTCCACCTGTTTATTTGAATAAACTTATTTACAGACAAAACCCTTTATTTGAATAAACTTATAGACAAGGCCGTTTAGTTGAATAAACCTATAGACAAAGCCGTTGTCTAATTCAGCTGATTCCCAGGACTAAACATTTATTTCGCCTTGTTGTTTTCCCTCTCCATTGCCAACTGCTTTTTTTCTAGCCACAGGATCAGTGACTTCAGGTGCAATTCTTGTCACTTTCCACCGACACAGTAATTTGTTCAATTCCCCTCGGAAA